TTTTCAAGAGTATATCTTGTGGTGTTGTAAGGTAGTTCTTGGGGTAGATTGTGTTAGAAATGTAGGTTGAGATCAAAAGGGGGGTGAATTGATCTTTGAAAGATTTTCGCAATTTACAGGTTATCTATTTCAAAGATTAAGATTTCTAACCAGTTCTTGAATCACACACAACAAGCAATCAAAATAAAAGCAGTGACAGAATTACAAGAGAAAGGTTTAGAAAGATACAACCAAGATTTATACCGGTTCACCCAATCCCAGGGCTACGTCTAGTTTCCAGCCAAATTCCAGTTGGGTTCCACTAGATTGAAAGTTTTACAGATTACAACTTTAATCTCACACTCAATCTACCACAAGAACTACAATTCAAGTTCCTGCACCTAAACCTTCACCAAGAACCAAATTCCAGTTCTTGACCAACCCTGCAGCCAAATTCCAACTACAGAAACCAGTGCCCACAATTCCAGGCACCCACAATACAGTAAAATAAAGTAAAGAAACAAATAGAAGAAACTTAGAACGCTCAAATCAGATTTATGCAGTTCTGTAGTATGTGTTTCTTCTCCAAAAGAATGCAATTTTGCCTCAAGAAAGAACATTAATGATCTTCACAAAAACTAGCGTGATTCTCTCTTGAAAGTAGCACTTATGATTGCTTGATTGATTGCTAAAACATGTGTTTTAAAAAGTTCAAGCAACTCTGTTTATATAGAAGATTTTCAAAACTGCTAGTTTATTTAATCTGTTAAAATAATCTTTTAATCTGTTAAAAGTCTTATTTTAATCTGTTAAAACTTCTTTTAATCTGTTAAAATGTTCTTGATTATTTTCCAGATGTGTTTTAACTGATACGACACCATTTATATCAATTAAAACTCTTTGTAAAAAATCTTCCAAACTGTTTTAATCAATTGTTTCGTCTTTCAATTGATTAAAATACTGCAAAACATTCTTATAAACTTTTCTAAGTGATTTTAACTGATAACAATCTATTTTAATCGATTAAAACGCTTAGTAGAAATTCTCTTAAGTTGTTTTAATCGATTAAATCACAGTTTAATCGATTAAAATTATTCTGATCGATCAAAAACTCATTCTGATCGATCATATACTCATTCTGATCGATCATATGCTGGATTACATCGATTAACAAATACTCCAAGTGATTTTAATCGATTATTTCGAAGTTATATCGATTAAAATACTACCAAAACACTTACCTGAACATTTTAAGTGATTTTAATCGATTATTTTGAAACTATATCAGTTAAAACACTGATAAAAGGTTTTCAAAACTTCCTTTAATGAAAACAATCGATTATTTCGAAAACATATCGAGTTAAAAACCTGTTACAAAAGTGTTAAGAACATTTTAGTTGATAAAGCTTATATGCTATTAGTTAAAATAGTTAATTAAAAAAAACTTTTAACAAAATACTTTGTTTTTAATCGTTTAAACATTTTTTAGAGGCATTTGCAAAATCTTTTAAATGAAGAAACCTCATGCAGCAGAGATATAAAAATGATTATACCTAAGCATAGATGCAGACTCACTAATCCCACTACCCTTTTGTCTAAGTGACCTTTGACTACCACAAAGTAGCCTTTGACTTCATCAAATCAACAAGATCTTTGCCAAAGTATTTCAATAAGATCTTCATCACTTTCAGATTGGTGTATATCTACTGGTTTGTATTTTCACTTGGTATTAGTGGAACTTGGCAAATTTTTCAAGAACTGGATGTAGCTCTTGAGAAGAGTGAACCAGTATAAAATCTTGCGTTGTATTTCTGCTTTTATCTCTTTTCATTTTTGGTTTATATTCTTGCTTTGTTTAAAACCAAATCTGCCTAATAAAAGATTGGATAAAGATTAATCATTCTTCCACAAAGAAAGAGTGTTTTTCGAAAAAGATTTCTAAAGTTCAATTCACCCACCCTCTTGAACTCAACCATTAATTCTTACAATTGGTATCAAGAGCTGGTTCTTGTAAGTTACTCAAGAATTTCGTCCAAGAAAGGTTTAAATGGCTGAGGGAAAGATGAATTTTTCTGAAGGAGCCTCCATCAATAGGCCTCCTCTATTTGTTGGTGTGAATTACTCCTTCTGGAAGGTTAGAATGAAAATCTTTATTGAATCTCTTGATAAGGGTATTTGGGATACAATTGTTAATGGTCCTTTCAAACCAACTCATACAGTGGATGGTAAAATTGTTGAAAAAGACTGGGCTGACTTAACTGATGCAGAAAATAGGAAAGTTCAATATGATTATACTGCTAAGAACATTATTACCTCTGCCTTAAATCTTGATGAGTTTTTCAGGGTTTCTCAATGTGCCTCTGCCAAAGAAATGTGGGAGATTCTAGAGTTCACTCATGAGGGTACCTCTGATGTGAAAAGGGCAAGGAAGCATGAATTAATTAGAGATTATGAATTGTTCAAAATGCAGCAAGGTGAAACCATTGCAGATGTGCAGAAAAGATTCACGCATATAGTCAACCATCTAATTGGATTAGGCAAGACGTTTGACAAGGAAGAGTTAAACATCAAAATCCTAAAATGTTTAGACAGAACTTGGCAACCAAAGGTGACAGCTATATCAGAATCAAGAGACTTAACTGAGATGACTACTGCATCATTGTTTGGTAAGCTAAGGGAACACGAGTTGGAGATCAACAGGTTTAAAGAATAAGAAAATGCAGAGAAGAAAAGCAGAAACATTGTTCTTAAGACAATTGAAGAAAGTAGTGACTCTGAAGAAGATGGATCTGAGAATCTTAATCTGTTAGTTAAGAAGTTTGGGAAATTTCTTAAGAAGGAGAACATAACTGGCCAGATTAAAAGGTACAATGATAAAAGAACTGATTCTATTCAAAATACTTATACTTGTTATTCTTGTGGTAAGCAGGGACATATAAGAAGTGAATGTCCAGAAAAATCCAAGAATCAAAACAAGAAAGATATGAAGTACAAAGGGAAAAAGGCCTACATAGCTTGGCAAGACAATGATTCATCCTCGAGTTTTGAATCTGAAGGTGAAGAAGTGAATCTATGCTTAATGGCTGGCTGTGAATCCTCTTCATCCCATGTAAGTTCAACCCCCACAGAGAATGAAATGAATTACAACACATTATTAACTGCTTTCAATGAAATACATGATGAAGCTAAGAATTTATCCTATCGGTTAAAAGGACTAAATAACTGGTTAGAGAATAGGGTTAAAGTTCTAGAAGAAGAATTATTAGAAAGCATAACAGATATGGAACATCTTGAAATAATCTACAATAATTCATCTTCTGATAATGATGCTGCTAACAAAAATTGTGAAAAGTGTATCTCTCTGCAGAAAAAGGTTGAGTATTTGATTAAAACCTTATCTAAGTTTACTCAAGGTAAAGAAAATTTAGATACACTTCTTGGGTCTCAAAACTGTGTTTTTGATCATACTGGAATTGGTTACAAACCTAAGTTTAGGGTTAAAACTAAAAGGTATTTGAACTTCTTTTCTTTCAGAAAATCAACAGCATCTCCCTTCTCATCTTGTCATTATCGTATGAAAAAAGGGCATACTATAAAATTCTGTCATATTATAAAACATTTTGTGCCACAGGGTAAAATGAGATGGGTTCCAAAATATGTTAAACAGAAAATTTGACCACTAAGGACCCAAAGTATTTAAGGGTACCAAATACTTGATGCTTGATTTTTCAAGAACAGCAGCAAGAATCACTTTGGTACTTGGACAACAGATGCTCAAGGCATATGACAGGTGATATTTCCAAATTTCAGAAACTGAGATTGAAGACTGGAGGTCACGTGACATATGGAGATAACAACAAGGGAAGAATCTTAGGTTCTGGAGATATAGGAGATGGTGAAACCGTGACCATTCACAATGTTCTTCTTGTTGAAGGTCTTAAGCACAACTTAATCAGTATAAGCCAATTATGTGATCTTGGTCACAAGGTTATCTTCAAACCAGAAATCTACTTAATCTGTGAGCCAAAATCTGACACGGTAATGTTGGTTGGTAACAGATTAAACAACATTTACATTCTAGATATCAAGCATTCTATCTCATCTCAAAGTTGTCTTCTTACTAAAGAAGAAGAATCTTGGTTATGGCATAAAAGGCTTGCACATATTCATCTTAATCATCTTGACAAACTGATTACTAAAGATTTAGTTTCTGGACTACCTAAGCTTCAAATTTTGAAAGACAAAATCTGTGAAGCTTGTTTAAAAGGTAAACAAACTAGAAAATCCTTTTCAAACAAAAACATTGTTTCTACTTGTAGACCTTTGGAACTGCTTCACATGGATTTGGTTGGTCCTTCAAGAAATAAAAGCCTAGGTGGTAATCTTTATATCATGGTAATTGTTGATGATTTCTCCATATTTACTTGGACTATTTTTCTAAAAGCCAAATCATATTCTTTCAAATATTTTAAAAGCTTGCCAAGGTTATACATAATGAGAAAGGTTATTTCATTTCTTCTATTCAAAGTGACAATGGTGGAGAATTTGTAAATGAAAAGCTTGAATTATTTTGTGAAAAGTATGGCATAAAACACAACTTTTCTTCTCCAAGAACTCCTCAACAGAATGGTGTTGTGGAAAGGAAGAACAGATCCATTGTGGAACTTGCTAGAACAATGTTTTGTGAGAACTCCTTGCCTAAATACTTTTGGGTAGATGCTGTAAACACTGCTTGTCATGTTTTGAATAGAGTTTTGATTAGACCCATTCTTAAGAAAACCCCATATGAACTTTACAAAGGAAGAAAACCCAACATAAACTACTTCAAGGTTTTTGGATGTACATGTTTTGTTTTAAACAATGGGAAAGAAAATATTGGCAAGTTTGATGAAAAATCTGACAAAGGGATCTTTCTTGGCTATTCTTCTAACAGTCATGCATATAGAGTCTATAATTTAAGACTGAAATCTGTTGAAGAATCAGTACATGTTATTTTTAATGAGTCCCCTTGAGTGTTGCAGAGTAAAACAACAGGTACTGCAGATGATGATGAATTAGCTGATAATTCTTATCAGTTAAAACATTCCAGAGATACAAATCAGTATACTGTTGAAGAAGGTGATCAATCAATTGACCCTACAAAAATTGATCCACCAGAAAGAATTGTTGGAGAACAGGAAGAAGATACCTTGGATGATCTTCCTAAAGAATGGATTGTCCCAAGAGATCTCTCTCTAGACAATGTTATTGGGCAAATCAATAAGGGAAAGTCTATGTTTCTCAGCCTCCTAGTTTTGAAAATCACAAACATCCTGACCATGTCTACAAGCTGAAAAAGGCTCTTTGTGGATTAAAGCAGGCTCCTAGACAATGGTATGAGAGACTAAGTAATTTCTTAATTGATCAAGGATACAAACGAGGTGAAGTTGACAAAACCTTATTCATTAAGAAATCTAGATCTGACATTATTCTGGTGCAGGTTTATGTTGTTAATATCATTTTTGGTTCCACTAATAATGCCTTGTGTAATAAATTTGTTAAGGAAATGCAAAGTGAATTTGAGATGTCTATGATGGGAGAACTGAATTTGTTCCTTGGTCTCTAGGTTAAGCAATTAAGGAATGGTATTTTCCTAAATCAATCTAAATACTATAATGAGTTGTTGAAGAAATTTGATATGCATAATTGCAAAGAATCCTCCACACCCATGTCTACTAACTACTGTCTAGATTTAGATGAAAAAGGGAAATTTGTTGATCAAACTAAATATAGAGGTTTGTAGACCCCTAATTTTGCCCGGTCTCTCAAATAAAGATAAAAGAGATCACCCGTAACAAGATAAAGCTCGTCTAGCATTACAAATAAGAGCCAAGGAGACTTCCTACATGAAGATAAAGCTTCAACAGACGCATATCGGCATCAACTGACGTCCAAAACAGGCAAGGAAAGCTTCCCGGAGTCCCGAAACGCGCGAAACTGGCCAGAACAGTCGAGACGGCCGTCCCAAAGGTGGGACGGCCGCCCCAACTTGCTCCAGCCAGTTGGGACGCGCGTCCGAAGCTGGGACGGCCGTCCCAAGCCCCAGAAAAGTGGGACGGCCGTCCCGGGTCCCCGGGGGTCCCAGCACTGTGTAATTTTGCCATTTGGGACGGCCGTCCCGAGTCCGGACGGCCGTCCCGAGTCCAGCACGGTGGTCCCGAAGTGCGCCAGCTTCGAAAACTATAAATAGGAGGCTCATTTGTCACTTTTTCACACCACGGACACTCCAGAGAGCTCCGAAACACTTCTAAACTGAGCACTTGTCTACTTCTCTCCTTCTCTCGAATGATCTTTCCGATTGCCTTAAAGAGGTAACAATCGGTTAAGGAATTATATTCCGGCATTCGATTCTTCTTTAAATTTTTAGTGGAGTCGATCTTGTATTGGTGAGGAGAGACTCGTGTAGAGAGGGGTTGCCAAAACGCATCCTCACGGTTCGAGATTCTCAATATAAAGCTTGCTACGGAGGTTCTTTTCAATTCCCTTCTCTTTTATAGTTTTATTTATTGTTTTATTGTTTTATTTAGCTTTATTTATGTCATGTAGAATAGGATCATGTAGATAGCTATTTTAATATCTCTTTTATTGCTTTATTTAACTTTATTCATCATTTTATGCATGCAACATAGAATAAAATCATGTAGATAGCCATTTAATATTATGTAATAAAATAGGGTAATCGCGTAATTTCTCGTAGTCTTTATTTAAATGAATTAATCTGTCATAGGGAACCCGAAAGGGGCGTTGTGGGGTGCTAACACCTTCCCCACACGTAACTAACTCCCTTACCCAACTCTGGTTATAATGGCCAAGTGCGGTTTTTCTTAAAATCAACATTTTTTCCTTTTCCAATGTTTATGGTCAAAACATTGGTGGCGACTCCATAAGAACCCCTTTTCGAAAACCTTTTAAAACAATAACGCGAGTCTAAACCATCTTTTCGCGACCGCTCGCATAAACGTTTCGAGACGTCCCCCTCCGGACGTCGGAAAGGGACGGCGGCGACAGATGGCGACTCCGCTGGGGAAGCTAGAGAGTTGATCCCATTTAGTGACAGATAAATTCAAACTAAGTAATGATTTGAAATTACGCCTTTACCCTCCGTATGTTTTTACTGTATGGCTTTAATAACTCGCTGTATGATTATTTCGCAAATTGTTTGAAATATAAACTGCACACAAAAACCCTTGCACACAACAGTCCCTCTATACCCGGGGCAAGAGTGAATACCTATAGGGAGTGGGTGGCGGATACGATCGGTTAGTTGGCACACGGGCTACCGCCGTTGCTCGGAAAACCACCAACTCAAGGTGATAACTCTCTTCTTTTGGTCTAAAGGTGTCGCCACGGAGTTCCGTGCATGACCCGAGGATTGAGAGATTGAGAGGTCCCTATAATGGGGGCACCTTGGGGACCTTTGGCCTGGTGAGAACAGTTAGAACCACCTAAACCAAGCACGTTTCTGCAGGAAAACCCTACCTCGTAATAGCGTGGCTCTGCTCGTGGATGTATGAATTGTGTGTGCATACGTTTGCTGCATTTGTATTGATGCATTAGCATAGGGAAATCATACAACAAACAAAAAAATGAAAAAACCTAAAAATCATAAAAATATATAATCAAATTAAAGTCATAAAAATACCTTATAAAAAAATTTTTCTTGACAAAGTCGTATCATTCATACCATATCATTCAATAAGTGGTAAAACCAAGAGAGAGAACCAATGCATTAAGAAAGGTATGCATAAACATCATCATAATAAAATCTCTCATACATAAACACATTCATCCTAGGACATATCTATTCCACACTAATCATTTAAAATAAAAGTTATAATAAGAATCATTAAAATCATTTAGAAGGTGGCTGGTCTTCCGCCCGTCCTCACTCGTGCTCAAAAAGCCAAGAAGATGGAACAGCTAGAAGAACAAAACCGAAAGCTCACCGCGGAGCTTAATACGCTGAAAGAGCAAATGGCTCAAATGTTAGATATGATGCATCAACAAAATATTCATCAGGAGGGTCCTCGAATGGACAAGCCTCTCACCAGGAAGAAGAAGAGGAACCTCGAGTGAGCATGATCCATCTAGCACAAGAGCAAGTACATATTCATGCTCCCGAAATATCAAAACAACAAATCATTGCTCTTGAAGAGAGGCCGAGAGCTATGGAAGGACATAACTTTGATATAAGAGAGGCGGCTGATATGTGCCTCGTTAAAGACATCCAATTCCCTAACAAGTTCAAAACTCCGGACTTCCCGAAATACATAGGGTTAACTTGTCCCAAAAACCATCTTACAATGTACTCGCCGTAAGATGGCTGCATATGTCGATAATGAGAAACTCCTGATCCATTGCTTTCAGGAGAGTTTAGCTGAATCGGCCTTAAACCGGTATATGCAACTAGAAGGGGGCCAAATCCAAACCTGGAGACACCTGGCAGATGCCTTTCTTCGTCGATATAAATACAATATAGATCCGACCCCTGAAAGAGCAGATCTACAACTATTAAGCAAGAAAGATGATGAATCCTTCAAAGCATATGCCCAAAGATGGAGGGAATTGGCAGCACAAGTGGAACCTCCTTTATCCGACAAAGAGACTACATCCCTGTTCATCAATTCTTTGACGGGTCCTTATTATGACAAAATGATAGGGAACACATCAACACTCTTCGCAGATGTAGTCATTATAGGAGAAAGAGTAGAGCAAGGTCTGAAGAGCGGAAGGATTGCACAACAGAACTCCTCCAACTCCTCTACTCCATTCATTAAAAAGAGCCTCGGGAAAAAGAAAGAAGGAACCGTAAATGCAATCAACTTGGCCATTCCTTCTTCCTCCTCTCAAGCAAACTAAGTCACGTAGACCAGAAAGGAAGTTCACCCCAATACCCACTTCTTATGCAAGCTTGCCGTTAAAATTACTAGACGCCAAGCTCCTCGTACGCATCCCTCCCAAGAAGATGGAGCCACCATATCCAGTAATGGTATAAGCTTAATGAAAAATGCAACTATCATTCGGACGCTCCAGGACATTCTACAGATAACTGCATAACCTTAAAGCATAAGGTCCAAGATTTAATAGATGCGGGATGGATCACCTTTGACGCATCTACTCCAAAGGTGGACGACCAACCCTTATCAAAGCCTGAGTAAAAGACGGGATAAGGGAGACCAGCAGATTAGGGCTCATCATTTTTACTTTTTTTTGCAATAAAAATAAAGAAATAATAAAAGCTTCCGATGTATTTCTCGTGATCCTTGTCCATGATCATGAGATTTTTGGTTAAATTGGGCTTTGTAAATATTTTCTTCTATCAATACAATGAGGCATTTTTTTAATATACATATTCTCTTTCATTCTTTTCTCTCTCATACATTTAATAAAAGAATCTAAAACAAAGCATAACCCATACAGTCATGTCTCGTGATTGAAAACTCCTTGGAAGATCTCGAAAGTCGAAGACGAATGGATTGAGTCGGACAAGTGAGGAGGGGACCATTTCCCGGATATGCAAAGACTGTTAGAAAAAGAAGCTCAATCAATACAGCCCCATCAGGAGAGAACTGAGGCTATCAATTTGGGATCAGAAGACGATAAGAAAGAAGTAAACATCGGTACCCAAATTAATAATGACGTCAGGGAAAGGTTAATACAATTACTAAGAGAATATATGGACGTGTTTGCTTGGTCCTACCATGATATGCCTGGGATTGACAAGAGCATAGTAGAGCATCGGTTACCAATAAAAGAGGGAATTCGGCCCGTCAAGCAAAAACTCAGAAGAGTAAAACCAGAATGGTCCTTAAAAATTAAAGAAGAAGTAGAAAAACAATTGGATGCCAATTTTCTAATTGTATCAAAATACCCTGAATGGTTGGCCAACATTGTGCCAGTCATAAAGAAAAATGGAAAAATCAGAGTATGCGTAGATTACAGGGATTTAAACCGTGCAAGTCCGAAAGATGATTTTCCCTTACCACATATCGATATGCTGGTAGATCATACTGCTACAAATACTCTCTATTCTTTCATGGATGGATATGCAGGGTATAACCAGATTAAATTGGTCGTCGAAGATAGAGAAAAAACTTCCTTCATTACACCATGGGGTACATTCTGCTATAGAGTAATGCCTTTTGGACTCAAGAACGCAGGGGCTACTTACCAAAGGGCTATGGTCACACTATTTCATGATATG